AAAGATCACTAAAACCAAGAGCTGGTTCTTTGAAAAATAAGCAAGATTAATGAACCACTAGCCAGACTCATCAAGAAACAGAGACAACCCAAATAAATAAATCGGAGGTGAAAGAGGTGAAGCAACAACTGACACCACAGAAATACAAAAGATTGTAAAAAAATACTATGAACAACTCTGTGCCAATAAATTGTACAACCTGAGTGCAATGGACAAATTGCTAGAATCTCAATCAGAAAGAATCTGAAAACCAGAACAAGCCAATAACAACTAATGAATTGAAGCAGTAATCAAAAAAAAATCCCAGCAAACAAAAGTCCTGGACTGGTTGGCTTCACAGGCAAGTTTTACCAAACATTCAAAGAAGAATTAAGATCTATCCTCCTCAAACTATTCCAAAAAATTCAAGAGGAAGGAAGACTTCCAAGCTCTTTTAATGAAGCTAGCAATATTCTAATTCCAAAACCAGACAAAGACACTACAAGGAAAGAAAATAACAGGCCAATATCCCTGATGAACACAGATGCTAAAATGCTTAACAAAATATTAACAAATCAAATGCAATATATTAAAAAGATCATATACTATGGCCACATGGGTTCTATTCCAGGGACGCAAGGCTGATACAATATTCACAAATCAATAAATGGGATACACCACATAAAAAAAAATGAAGGTTAAAAATCACATGATCATATCAATAGACACAGAAAAAGCATTTGATAAAATCCATTACCCAATTTTCCTAAAACTCTCAGCAAGTGGGAATAGAGAAAACATATCTCAACATAATAAAGGCCATATGTGACACATTTAAAACCAACATCATATTCCATGCCCAAAAACAAAAAGTGTTTTCCTTAAGAATAGGAACAAGACAGGGAAGTCAGCTTTCACCACTCTTACTCAGCATAGTACTGGAAGTCGTAAGCACAGCGATTAGACTAGAAGAAAAAATGAAAAGCATCAAGTTGGAAAGGAGGAGGTAAAATTTTCATTCCTTGCAGATGGCATGATATTGTACATAGAAAACCCTAAAGATTATACCGAAAAACTACTAGATTTATAAATGAATTAGGAAAAGTAGCAGGACATAAAATTAACATATGAAAATCAATAGCATTTTTATACACCAATAATGAACTTCCAGAAAAACTTAGAAAACAATCTAATTTACCATTCTAACAACAGCAACCTAAAAGATATCCTGGAGCCCTAACTGGTTTGGCTCAGTGGATAGAGCGTCAGCCTGCGGACTGAAAGTTCCCAGGTTCGATTCCGGCCAAGGGCATGTACCTTGGTTGCGGGCACATCCCCAGTTGGGGGTGTGCAGGAGGCAGCTGATCGATGTTTCTCTCTCATCGGTGTTTCTAACTCTCTATCCCTCTCCCTTCCTCTCTGTAAAAAATCAATAAAATATATATTTAAAGAAAAGAAGATATCCTGGAATAAACTTAACCAAGGAGGTAAAAGACCTGTGCATGGAAAAAAGAAACAGAGAAAAGTATAAACAAGTGGAATCATATTCCACGTTCACAGATTATAAGAATTAACATCATTAAAATGTCCATGACCCAAAGCAATCTATAGATTCAACACAATTCCTATTAAAATACCAAAGGCATATTTCACAGATCTAGAACAAGTATTACAAATATTTATATGGAACCCAAAAAGATCCTGAATAGACACAGAAATCTTGAGAAGGAGAACAAAGTTGGAGGGATCACAGTACTGGATATCAAACTATACTACAAAGCCACTGTAATCAAAACAGTCTGGTAGTGGCAGAAGAACAGGCATATAGATCTATGGAACAGAACAGAGACCCCAGAAATTGACCCAAACCATTGCACTCAATATTTTACAAAGGAGGCAAGAGCATACAATGGAGTAAAGGCTACCAACTTACACCATATAAGAATAGATTCAAAATGGATAAAAGACTTAAATATAAGGCATGAAACCATAAAAATCCTAGATGAAAACATAGGCAGTAAAATCTCACCAATGAATTTATACGCATATATGGATAGCCCGTGGACAGACAATAATGGGGGAATGGCCTGGGGAGAGAGAAGGATCTGGAAGAAGGAAATCTCAGACATCTCACATCTGAGATTTTGGCTGATACATCTCCTAGGAAAAGAGAAACAAAAGAAGAAATAGTCAAATGGGACTATATCAAACTGAAAAGCTTCTGCGCAGCAAAAGAAACCATTCTCAAAATGAAAAGGGAGCCCTCTGTATGGAAAAATATATTTGCCAAGGATACATTTGATTAAGGACTAATTTCCAAAATATAAAGAACTCATACAATTCAACAAAAGGAAGACAGTCTAATTTTAAAATGGGTAAAGGACCCACTTCTCTAAAGAGGCATACTGATGGCCAATAGGCATATAAAAAAATTCTCATCACAAGTCATCAGAGATGCATGTTAAAACCTCACAACTGCTAGAATGGCTTCTGCCAGCACTTCTGCCTTGGAGAAAGCTGCCTCTCCAGCCCTCACCCTGCAGCCCAGTGGTTCTCAACCTTCCTAATGCCGCGACCCTTTAATACAGTTCCTCATGTTGTGGTGACCCCCAACTTCATTGTTACAAATTGAACATAACTAAAGCATAGTGATTAATCACAAAACAATATGTAATTATATATGTGTTTTCCGATGTTCTTAGGCGACCCCTGTGAAAGGGCCGTTTGACCCCCAAAAGGGTCGTGACCCACAGGTTGAGAACTGCTGCCAGTGTAGCCCGACAATAGTTTCTCCCCATATATACCTGGGGCCTTTCGAGCTAGGGCCTGAGGGCTGTAGTTCAGAGTGAGCTCAGTTTTTGCGGGGGCTGTTAGAGGGATGCTTGGGATGCCAGTAGCCCTTTGTCTCAGTAACAATGTCAGCCCGTTTCACAGCCAGGAGTTATGGGGACTTCTCTTCCTGCCATTGGAACCCTGGGCTGCGGGGATTGGTATAGGTCCCCTCGCTCCTCAGAGGGGACCTCCACAGCCGAGATATCTCTCTTGGTTTTTAACACCACACGGGGGTAGGGAGCCTGCCCATTGCACGTCTCCACCCTCCTGCCGTTCTCAACCTGGCTTCTTCGGTGTGTCTTTGCAATAGGACTCTGTTCAGCTGGACTTGGCTGGTTCCCGGAGATGCCCACTCTGTAGTTTCGTTCTAATGTTGCTGTGGTCGTGGGAGGAGGCGGGCACAGCCTCTGCTGGCTCTGCCATCGATCAGAAGCCCCCTAGACGTCCTTTTAATGGTTGTGCAGCAGTGCGCTGTAAGAGGTTTCCTAATTAATGTAACCAGTCCCCTCCTGATGGTGGATGAGTGGCATCCAGTGTTTTCCTATTATAAACAACACTAGGAGGAATATTGCTGTCATTCACAATTCTGTTCTTTACGAACAGGCTTGATCCTGTCCTAGGCTCTAATCCTCCATAAGCTTTCTTCCTGAGGCACGTGTTTTTCACCAATGTCTATTTTATGGGGGTTCTATAGTCATCACTTTTTAAAACTCAAACAAAATGGCTTATCACCAGCCTTGGTGTGGACTCTGGGGATCCTGATCTCAACATTGTCCTGTTGGCCAGAAAGGACAAATTTAATTAGCAACTGTTGGCTTGGGTCATAGCCATAGCCAGTTGTCCCCATGTAAACCCAGAGAGCACATTTGAACATCCAGTTATAAGTCACTCTGAAATACCATGCTGCTCTGAGCTCACATCATGCAGTGAAAGAGTCAGTCTGAGAAGGAATAGAGGGAACTGCTTACACAAACTCTGATTGTCTTCTGCATTCAGTAAACAAGAGATCAAGTTGCGGACAGGCGATGCCCTACTGGTGTATAGCAGCGCATCACTGAACTGGAGATCCAGAATCACACCTTGAGTGGAGTACGTGGGATCCTCATTAACTGCATTCACTGAGTACACTAGTCAAACTCTAAGCCTCAGTTTTGGAAAATGGAGTTATAATGCCTACCTCATAGGATTGTTTAAAGTCCAGGGAATGTAGTGGTTTCTCAATACAGGCTTTCAACAGTAATAGAAGAATAGTAGAAATAATAGTAGAGTTATTATTGTCCTTGTAGCTATTGCTGTTGTGTCTGTGCAGTAGTAATAGTGCTTATTGTGTATGTGTAGTAATAGCAGTTTAGAGCAGAAGTTTGTAGTGGTCATTATTGTAGTAGAGATGGGTGTTTTGTGGTCTTGTGGCTATTGTTGATGTTAACTGCTGTTAATGCTGTTATGATTGGAGTTGTTGTGGTGGTAGAATTTGGGCAAAACTCAAGTTAGATTCTCTATTTAGTATTTCTCTATAACTATCATACTAAAGTCCCCAATTCATTATTTTGAACACCAGGTAAAAGTCAGAATTCTGCTTTAGAATTTGAACTGGAGATCCATGTGCTTCTATGAGGATATTAATCGTATGAAGGAGGAGAGTACGAAGTCACATTTACTTGTTCAAATCATAGCCTTTGCTGTCAGTTGCTCCTGACCTCAGAGAAAGTTTAATGTTAGATTGAAACTATAGAAGTAAAACCCTGACCGGTTTGGCTCAGTGGATGGAGTGTCAGCCTGCGACTGAAGGGTCCCAGGTTCAATTCCAGTGAGGAGCATGTACTTTGGTTGAGGGCACATCCCCAGTGGGCGGTGTGCAGGAGACAGCTGATTGATGTTTCTCTCTCATCGATGTTTCTGACTCTTTGTCCCTCTCCCTTCCTCTCTGTAAAAAATCAATAAGATATATTTTTTTAAAAAAGAATGAAGTGAAAAAGTTTATGGCACTAATCCTTTATATTTCATTTTTCTTTTTGATTTTTTGACAAAGTGATTTCCTTTTGCAAAGCACGTGTGACTTTAACTTTTTAAAGAAGAGGGAGAAGTTAATATGTGCATACACAGGCAATCAATTCTAATTCTCATGAATATAACAAGTGGATCACATCCGAGGTTATGTTTTCAAGTCCTGTGTATGGATTTATTCATCGACTCCCCCACTGATTTAATAGGAATCACGCTGATAAATTACAACACATAACATTTTTTTAATTAAGGATCAGACACCCACCAGGGATGCTCAAAATCAAATTAATTTTATGACCATTCTCAGATAACCATTCTAAAGGAGAAAATAATTATCAAACTTTGCAGAACAACCATATAACCCTTTCATTTGAAAAGTTTAAACATGAGTTTCCTCCAATTTATCTGCAGTGACTCAACATCCAAAACAGTACACGCAATGGCACCAGTGTTTGTTCCACGCGTAAGTGGCACATACTGTGTGAAAGCTTTTCTCTCATGCTGTTGCATCACCTACGTTAGTGGTTTAAACCCGGGCATGATTTGGCCCCAAGAAGATATGTGGCAATGCCCGGTGACATTTTTGGTTGTTACGACTGGAGCGGGGCACTGACATTTAGTGAGTACAAGTCATGGATGTTCCTAAGCACCCGACTATGCTCAAGACAACCATCACTACAAAGAATTACGTGACTCAAGATGTCAATACCACTGAGGCTGAGAGCTCTGATTTGGATTACTATCCCTTTTCACTCAACTGTTCATCCTTTTAGTCATTCATCAAAGGTTTACTGAGCAACTACTATGTGGCCTGCTCTATACTAGCCACTGAGGACATCCAAAAGAGAAAGGTACTTTCTTTGCAGTAAGGAATGTGGAATGTATACACTGGTTCTCAACAGGTAGCTCAGGCATCATCTATGTTATAGAGTCTGGAGCATTTCCAAAATGCAGGTTCCTGGGTACATATTGCAACTCCTGATCTAGAATATCTCAGGATAAGGCATGAGAAATTACATTCACTTCTTCCCTTTTTAAATTTTTTAAAAATATATTGAAAATGCTACCTATGTATTGCATGTAAACATTATTAATGATACAATGAAATATAAACAATGATATGGGATATTAGAAAATTTAAAAGTAAACTGAATACACAAAATCTAATTGACTTTCATCCTTTTCCACCTATTTAACGTATACAGCAACCTTTCTGAGTAAATGTTGCTCATATCGACCCTGATCTCAGGTAAGCAGTACTAATAACCCGTTCTCTCAGGCACTGACATCCAGAAAGCAGAGGACCTCGCGCAGGGTCACATGGCTGGGATGTGGCAGAGTCAGGACTTGAGCCCCACAGAGACTACAGTGTTCACACTTCCCACCATAAATTGGTCCCATCCAATTTCTCTGACCCAGCTGTCCAGTTAATGACACACCTGCACCTCCTCAACAGCAACCCATCAGAGGCCCTTATACAGCTATCCTAAGTGAACAGCCCAGAGTTAGGACCTGTATCTGAATAATAGATTTCTAACTAATTTGTTGTACGTAGAGATAAATTAATATTTCTGAAGATAAATTGCTACTATTTACAATTCCTGCCTATCTTCTTAAGACAATATAACTCAAGGAAAGGCTCATACCTGGTTCTGAAGGTGACAAGCACATAAGTAGCTGACAGCACCCCAAACTACTTCTAGTACAGTCCCCACTTTTATAGGCTGGGAGAAGGACATGTAACCAGGTAAATTAAGGTGTAACTAGCCAAATATTAAAATAAGTACATAAATAAAATGCTTATCTAGATTTTATTTAGCTTTCAAAGGTCAATTCCTCACACTCCATGAAATAATTTTTGGCTGCCCTAGAATGCAATGATCTTCTAAAATATTCATGAAACAGTTGTTCTCTAATTGTTTTCTAAGCATAAAACTTTTCCTTTCCCATCTAGATTGAATCCGTAGAGGTTCATGATTTTGTATTCCTTGGAGTGACTAGGATAGTCTACTAAAGGCTCAGTCAGCCAGTAATTGTGAACCAGCTGACCATTTAATAAAATAAGTTTTCTGCTTCTGTTAAGGTACAGGCAGAAAAAAATGAAGATAGAATCACATTGAAACAAAAAAAAAAGTGTATTTTCTGAACACCAAGATAAATAGTAGGTTGTTGTCTGTATCTAAAACATGAGTCCACCTGGTCCAGTCGCTTTAAGGTGATTAGCCCAAGCTCAGTATTTAAGAAGTCCTTTCACTAC